TTTAACCCCAAAATTTCCCTATAAATACCCCCATCCCTCACACATTTTTCTCACTCAAACTCTCTCAATCCCTCTCAATCTCTCTCAATTTCTCTCAATCTCTCTCAATCTCTTTCAAGTTCTCTCAATCTCTCTCACAATTTTTCTAAAGCTCTCTCTCTAGTGTCTATCAAATTCATCTTATTTTTTTATAATGGATCCTTTTGGTTATAGTGGTATTCCCGTTGATGCCCAACACAATGTAGAAGAAGGGCAATTTCCCACTAATGAGTTTGTTACGCAGCAAATGCAATCTACTAATCCAAGCCATGGTGGACGTACTGGAGGTCGTGGTCGCAATAGTGGGCGTGGAGAAGCGGCAGCAAGTGCGACTGCGTCTGCGTCTGCGTCGGCAAGTGTTGCAACCTCCAGGAGAAAATGCAAGCGTACCTCGACAGTTTGGGATCACTTCGACATAATTGACGAGGTGGATAATGAAGGTAACACTAAACATATAGCTCAGTGTAAATATTGTTTATCTAAATTACAAGGCGACACTATTCACGGCACCACACACTTGAGACGACACTCTGAAAAGTGTCTTCAAAAGCTTAGCCAATCTAGCGGACCCGAACTCCGCCAAACACAATTATCTTTTGATCGCGCAACCGGTGGTCTAACCACTTGGAAATACGATCCGCAAGAAGATCGTATGGAAGTTGCGCGAATGATAGCTGCTTTAGATCAACCACTTAGTTTTGTAGAGCATCCTAATTGGCAACGATATATTAAGATTGTACACAATCATAATACACAGTTCACTTCAAAAACTACTCTTAGGAAAGATTTATTAAAATTATTTAAAAAAAAAGATGCATTAATAAACCTTTTACACTCGACTAGCGGGTGCGTTGCGTTAACGGCAGATATTTGGTCTGCCATTGCCAATAAAGATTATTTAGCTGTAACCGGACATTACTTTAAAGGATTTGATTTAGATAAGAGAATATTAGGTTTTAAATGTGTTCTAGGATCACATAGCGCAGATTTAATATATAACACAATTTTAAATGTAATTGATGAATTTAGTTTAAGAGATAAAGTAATGGCTATAACATTAGATAATGCTAGTGCCAATACAAAAGCAATTGAATTCTTTGAAAATGATTTAAGTCTATTCGGTGACGGTACTATTTTCCACCAACGTTGTGCATGTCATGTAATCAATTTAATAGTTAAATCCGGTTTAAAAGAAATGGGTAATCACATTAAAAGAATTAGAGATAGTCTTGCATGGATTCAAGGTAGTAACCAAAGACAAGAAGATTAGTTTA